AGCACATCGTCACCACCACATCCCAAAGTCACTCCAGCTTCCTCCCTTTTTAGCGCAATGAAACCCCAATGTCTCACCATTTCCTACAAGCCCCTCAACACAGGGCCCCTCTGTCAACTCTGAGCTCATCCTACCCCTCTCAACCCAGCTCACTTGTCTCCATTCACACCAACCTCTTGTCACCGCTCTCTCCTGTCTCTGCCACCTACCCATGCTGTGACTCCCACATGTACCTACTCCCCAGGGATTCACATGACTCACTCCTCACACGATTCAGGTCTCTTCTCAGATAACCAGTGGTCAAGTTCTCAGAAACGTCTTGCTCAATGACTTTGTCTAAACTACGTCTCCTGCTATTCCCACCATCACCGATCTTCTGGCCTAGGGCATATTTTTCTCAATGGCAATTATTGATAATACTAGGCTTTATTTCCTTACTGTCCATTAGTGTATCAGGGTTCTCCAGAGAGACCCAACCAACCGGATAGATAGATAGATAGATGATAGAAGGAAAGCACCATGGTCACTGAAGAAAGGGCCCTCATGGAAGACGTGTGACAAGAAAGGTCTGCTGTCCCAGGGCCACCATATTTGGAGTGACTCCCATTCTAGGCAGGACTTTTCTTGCTTTTTGTATTCACAGTAGTTCTGAAATTGCAGGATGCTGAAACTGCAATGCTGAAACTCCCTGTGTTGAGGGGCTTGTAGGAAATGGTGATGCAGCACTCGCCATTTATACTGTTTCTTTCTTTACCATTAAATACTGTGCCAAAGAGCACCTTAATACATTTCTTTCCTCTTCCTGGAGACAGGCAAAATAATAGTAGATATGTTGAAACACACAAATGTACTTTAAGCACGTGCTTTCAGAAAAAGCTACTAGAAGATTAAATGCACCAAAATGAGGGGGGGGATACAAAAGTAAAAAGAAAGATTGCATATCCATGTTCATAGCAGTGTTATTCACAACAGGCAAGACATGGAAGCAACCTATATGTCTACCAACAGATGAACAGATCAAGAAAATATGATGATGTACAGACAATGGAATATTATTCAACATTAAAAAGAAGAAAATCTTGCTATATGATACAACATATATGAACCTTGAAGTCATTGCTAAGTGAAATACGCCAATCAAAAAAAAAAAAAAACTCCAAATACTGCATAATTCCATTTATATGAGGTGTCTAAAATAGTCAAACTTGATGAACGTGAAAGTAGAATGGTGGTTGCCAGGTAAAACTTCCAGGTAGTGAGGCATTTTTGTGCAATGGGCACAGAATTTCAGCTTTCAAGGTGAAATATTCTAGAGATCTGTTGCACTACAATGTGCTTACAATTAACACGATTATAGTACTGTATATTTTTTGGTTTTTTTTTTTTTTTTTTTTTGGCTGGAGACAAGGTCTCACTACTTTCCCCAAGCTGGACTTGAACTGTAGGCCTCCAGTGATCCTCCTGCCTTAGCCTCCCAAATTGCTGGGATTACAGGCATGAGCCACCACACCTGGCCAATGGTACTGTATTCTTAAAAATAGTTATGATAGTAAATTTTATGTGATGTATTTTTTGCCACAATGAAAAAATGCTTAGCTTTGTTACTAATTTAGAAAGAAACTGCATCAGCTAATTAAAAATATATTAGGATGTGGCCTGTGGTCCTGACTACCCAGGAGGATGAGTTGGGAGGGTCACTGGAGCCTATGAAATCGAGCCTGCAGTAAGCCATGATGGCACCACTGCACTCCAGCCACCACTGCACTCCAGCCTGGCTGACAGAGCAAAATTCCCTCTTTCTCTCTCTTTATACATACACACACACACACACACACACACACACACACACACACACCCACCCAGAAGAATCAGCATCTCATGAAACTAGAAAGGCAGGCTCATATGCCCCAGCCCTGACATCTTGAATCAGTCTGCATTTGGCAGGACCCCAGGTGGCTCCACCGCATGTAAAGCACTGCCTCATGCAGTGGAGGGAGATCCTACGATGGTGACTCTGCTCCACAGGGAGAAGCCTCCAGTCCAGATGGGAGCAGCCAGAAGGGCCCAGGAGGGACATTTCCAAGAAGGTAAAGTGGAATATCCAAAGTCTGTAACTTCTTAAAAGAGTAATATAATACGGCTGGGCACGGTGGCTCACCCCTGTAATCCCAGCACTTTGGGAGGCCGAGGCGGGTGAATCACCTGAGGTCGGGAGTTCGAGACCAGCCTGACCAATATGGAGAAACTGTCTCTACTAAAAACACAAAATTAGCCGGGTGTGGTGGTGCATGCCTGTAATCCCAGCTACTCAGGAGGCTGAAGCAGAAGAATCCCTTGAACCTGGGAGGTGGAGGTTGTTGTGAGCCAAGATTGAGCCATTGCATTCCAGCCTGGGCAACATGAGCAAGACTCCATCTCAAAAAAAAAAAAAAAAAAAGGCTAGGTGCAATGTCTCACGCCTGTAATCCAAGCACTTTGGGAGGCCGAGGTGGGTGGATCACGACGTCAAGAGATCGAGATCACTGTGGCCAACATGGTGGAACCCCGTCTCTACTAAAAATACAAAAATTAGCTGGGCATGGTGGTAGATGCCTGCAATTCCAGCTACTCAGGAAGCTGAGGCAGGAGAATTGCTTGAACCTGGGAGGTGGAGGTTGTGGTGAGCCGAGATTGCACTACTGCACTCCAGCCTGGACAACAGAGTGAGACTCTGTCTCAAAAAAAAAAAAAAAGGAGTAATACAAATAGAAGAAATATCAACATTAATGAGTGCTATTTATAAAATAAACAAAACAAAGGCAAGTATTAACTACAGGAAGAACAAATGTTCAGGAAGTGAAAAGTGGTCAAGCTGACATATGAGAAAATTAGTCATGGAAAAAGAAACAAGGAATGACTGAACTAAACACAATTACTATAGAAATACATTGGGAAGATGAAAGAATGGGAAGAGTGAAAGGGAACAGGTACAATTAACTACTGCATTCACCACTGTGCTGTGCAACAGATAATGGCTGCAACTGAAAAATCAAGCAGTATTAATGAAGGAATTGTATTTAGACATATGGAAGTAAAAGTTGAAAGACTTAGCAAAAATGTTGAACATTGTTGCCTCTAGGAAGGCAGAAATTGAGAAGATGCAGAGAGGACTTGTTTCTCTAGAGAAATCCTATGCAAATATTTGATGTTTTAAATCACGGACAATTAAACTTTGATTAATAAAAACTTAAATGAATTTGAAAATTTATACCTAATGAGAACTGAATTCAACAAGTGACAACTGCTAACTAATATAAATAAGACTATTAAATATATAACATAAATGCATAAATGTGTAAATGACATCAACCTGAATAAAAACATGAAAGAAAATGTCGATGAACACATCTCTATATAAATAAGTAGCACATGAGTGAATTCCCTACTCCAAGCTCCCTTTCTAGTTGCTTTGTGAACCCAGGCAGTTGGAGGAAACAGGGCCCAGCTAGGGTCCCTCACCCTTCTCTTGCTTCCAGGCAGGTCCTGCATCCACTCCTGCTGCAAGGAGGGTTCCCATCCCTGGCTTGAGTCTGTTTCACAGGTGTCACCCTGACGCTGTCTGCCATGACCGCCTTACCTGGGTGGGGCTGAGGTTGCCTTGACCAAGAAGTGCATCACCCATCTGTGTGTCCCAACACCAGCAGTCAGGAGGCATCAAGAAACAAGCAAGGTGAGGAATAACCCACCTCTTACATGTCCACTTTCCTGGTTCATTTATTCTTCATTAATTCAGTCCACACCTCCCCAGCAGTCACTTTATGCCAGAACCTGACTGACTGGAATTCTTCAAAATCAGAAAACCTCGAAGCTCTCTCTATCCCCTCCCCAGTATCATACTTCAGCTCTGTGTCATCACTGGAAGACTCCAACTCTTCAGGGCAGATGTTCCCTCACACGGTCAGTCCCTGAATGTCGGTGCCAGATGTCCCACCTCCACCCCTCCCTAGTCCTTTCTGTTCTGCTGTGAATCTGTCAGTCATCGGGAACTAGCAGGGAAAGCGGACAAGGAGGGGAGGTTGTTTTCACGCTGCACCAAGGCATTGAGACAGACCTCTCGTTCTCCCTGAGCCTCACACTTTATCCGCTCCCAGACGCATGAAATAAAAGAGACTAGAAATGTCTGTTTAAAGAGTAAACATCTATGGTATAAAATTATGCGCACATAATAGTAGACACAGAGTAATGCATAACAGTGTGATGGGGTGAGGGGGCCTCAAGGTGACAAGAAAGCTGGTCCTGGGCTGGTCAGGAGGAGTCATTACCAAGACACTCACTCATAAAGCTCACCTACGATAACCTAATTACTACACATGTAATATATTAAAATATCTTAAAATACAATAAAATAGGCCAGGCACAGAGGATAATATAATAAAATAAAATAAATTAAAATGTAATAAAATAGGCTGGGCACGGTGGCTCATGCTTGTAATCCCAGCACTTTGGGAGGCTGAGGCAGGCGGATCACTTGAGGTCGGGAGTTTGAGACCAGCCTGGCCAACATGGCAAAACCTTGTCTCTATGAAAAATGCAAAAATGAGCCGGGTATGGTGGTGTGTGTCTGTAACCCCAGCTACTCGGGAGGCTAAGGCACGAGAAGTGCTTGAACCCGGGAGGTGGAGGCTGCAGTGAGCCAAGATTGTGTCACTGAACTGCAGCCTGGGTGACAGAGTGAAACTCTGTCTCAAAAAAAAAAAAAAAAAATAATACAAAAACAACAGAAATGATGAATCAATTAATATGGTACAGCTGCAAACACCTCATATCTACTAACACTTTGCAACATCCAACAACAATAAATAAGTGCTGATATTTTCTCTGTTTCATAGGTCAGGAAACAGAGGGAAAGTGCTGGTGAGGTCCAGGCAGGGAGTTGAATCCCAGCCACCTGTCTGTAGAGTCTAGGCACCCTCAGTGGAGCCAGTGGACCCAGGAGCTGACATCAGAGGCTGAAATTCGAGCTATGTGGCATCCCTGTGGTCTCCTGTCCCAACTGGGTGTTGATCCAGGGTCTGCAGGCTCACGAGCTCTGGAGAAAAGAGGGAAATGGGTAAATGCTCCACTGGGTGCAGTGTTCTGTTTATTCCCTGAGGACTTTTCTCTCTTCAGTTGCTCCAAAACCAGATTCACCCTTTCTCTGAGGGAAGATGAGGCCCCCACTTTTTTCTTCCTCCCTCCCTGCTTTTCCCAGTTCCTGCCAGTTCCCTCTCATCACTCCATCAACATCAGCCCCTGCCCTTGCCCGAAAGGGCCACAAGACTAAAGGACAAGACCCAAGAGGGAACCCAGTGCCCTCCCTTCCTCTCAGACCCGACCAGTCCTGTTACAGCGAGAGGCCTCCCCAAAGAGAGGTCCTGACCCTTGCTCTCAGTCCCCAGGCCCTCCTCTCCTGCAGAGGCACCTGCACACCAGGGCAGGCCCTGCCCACTGTGGGCTCTGCCCTCTATCTGCAGCTCAGTGCTCCTCCCCTCCCAGCCCTGAGCAGATAGCTCCTAACTGGGAATCCCATCAGGAAGGCTGGGGGGCCCAGCAGGCCCAGCATGGAAAGATGTGGCTGCCAGAGGATCTGCACCTGATGTGACCCTGGGACCCGCACCTTGCTTGAGAAGGCCTGGCCTCTCCTGACCCTCAGCACCCACCGAGGCCTGTGACCTGCTCTTGAGTCACCACTGCTCCTGCCTGGTCCACTTACCCCTGGAAACGCAGCCCCACCCCAGGGCTGCTGCTTGGTGAGGGTGTGAGGCCTTCCTTCTCTGTCCCTAGCAGGGATTCCACCTAGACCACTGCCCTTGCAACCTACAAGGGATTTTCTCCATGTGGAGTAGGGGAGACCCCTTAGCCTGAGGCTGCCTCCGCCCACCCTCTGCACCTGGGAACTGCCACTGCCATAGCCACCATCTCCCACACAGACCCTCCTGGAGAGGGAGCTCCAAATTTGAGTTCCTGTGTCATATAATATGTTTTACAATATTAGAGGAAATCGTATTAAGATTATAGAGCTAAAATTATGAGTATCTTTACTGGACATCAACATTGAAAGCAGGAATTTTGAGAAACTGGTACATGAACTTCATACCCTTTTCCTGGCCAAAAGCCCAGTGACCTATGAGGAAACCATTCCTGCCCACAGGGAAGCAGAACCGACAATCCCTCTATGGGAGACACCACAGGTGAGAGCAGGAGCGACCACAGACCTGCGCTGCCCCTGCTGTGGGTGCCTCCTGGACGGGGCCCTCTTGCTGCAGGGCAGAGGATGAACCTTCCAATCTGCTCAGGCCTGAGGGGCCGACTGATAGTGCAAATAGGTTCAAGGATGAGAAACCAGCGCCCCTACCGCTAGACACACAGAAGTGGGGAAAGACTCAGGTCTCCTGGACACCCCAGCCTCTCACTGTCCCCTGCTGGCTTCTGTTTTTGCAGAAACACAAAACTTCCTGCTGTCTCTTTTCATCCCCTGCCAAACAACCTAACTGCGGGGAAAAGATTCTGACCGTCCCTTACTCCAAATTTACCAGGCAGTGACTACCTTGAGAAAGGGAAATTGGCTCAGGGAGGGCGAGGTGAGGTCACAGAGCACAGAACAAATACCCAAAAACATGGGCCCTGGGGACTGTGTCCCTCAGGGATTGGAGAAGGAAACACTCGGAGGTGGGATGAAAACAGGGACCACAGCTGCCCTGATGAGGGACTGGGTTCCGCTCCTCAAATGGCCCAGGAACATCTGCTTATCTACTCATCCCTGTCATCTGCAAGGAAACTCTAGGAGGCCAGGCGGTAGGAACCTGGAAAGAGCGGGGCCTTGAGTGGCCCAGAGGACACAATACCCCCGAGAAAGCTCCTGGAGGAGGTGCATGGGGAGCTGCAAAGTGGACAGAGATGGCCGTGTGTGCTCAGGACCTTCTCTGTTACAAGGGGTCTCCAAAGGGCTACACAGGCAGGGCCCCCAGGCTGGGCCTCACAGGTCTTTTTCTGGGTGTCCACCCCGATGGCTGCAGAAATAGGGGAGAGGGATGCAGAGAGGAAGGGACTAGGGGCACCGCCTCTCCTCAGATTCCTCTCCAGTTTCTGGCCCTCCCCAGATTATAGCCACCTTTACTATTTGCTCCCTCTGAGGCCATGATCATCCAGGCCCTCAGCAATCAGCACGTGATTCCCAGTTCACACCACCTGGATGCGCCCTAGTGAGCCTGAGAGACACAGAGACCAGCATGGGGACAAAGCAGGCACCGCAGCCCTCCCTGCTGCCCACTGCTCACCTGCAGCAGGAGGAGGCCACAGCCGGACATCTGACCCTCGCTTGGGAAGAACTTAGCGGTGTAGATGAGACGCTGCTCCCATTCCCCTCCCAAATTCCCCAACTTCCATCCCCTGTTCCAGAAGCCTTGTCACCAACAAGCCTATTTTTGCAGGAACAAGGAGGGGACTCTACTGCCCGGACAGGGGCCTTACCATCTCCAGAAACTGCTCCCTTTCCTCACCTGGACCCTCTGCAGCTGATGTTTTCTTCTTACAACAAAGGACATAGAGAATAATAACAAAAATAGCAGCAGCAGCAGCAACAGCAGCAGCAGCAACACCAAGAACATATGGAATGTCTAGCCATTGACTCTGAAACACCAGCACTTTCCCTGAAAAAAAGTTATAACTTGTTATACACTGAGCAGAGAGCCACAGCCGTCCCTGCTGTCCCTACCGTGGCCTGACCCTCTCCAGGGTCACCCCAGGCTCACCAGAGGGCACAGGGTGAGTGCTGTGATTCCCGCTGTGTTCCATGTAGCAGGCGAACCTCTGCTCCTCGCCTTGGCGAATTCTGGTGGCCACCCAGGTCTGGTAGGTTCCATTCTGATCAGGCAGGATCCCCCCCCACTGCTGGGCGTCGTGGTTCAAAGACACCCCATCCTGACGCCAGGTCAGTGCGATATTCCGGGGATAGAAGCCGGAAGCCCTGCATGTCACGGTGATGTTGCCCTCTGAGGCCTCGCTGTGGGTGACGTTCACCATGGGGGGTGCTGGAGAAGAAAGGGCAGAGCCAGTGAAGCCCTGCTCCCCTCTAAGGGAGATGCAGGGAACGGGGCTGCTCCTCTCCACTGTTCTCACTCTGGCTAAAGCCCTCCAGGACCCCTGACCTGCAAGTTTGTCCTCACCCTGGGGCCCAGTTCCTCCAGGCTAGCAGGAGGATGGGCCTTGGGACTGTGGCCTCAAGCTCTGGGATCCCCACATTGATGCTGAGGAGGGGGATGTTGGGGTGGACTCACGGGTCGTGGGGCCAGGAGGGAACTCTCTGGGATGGGCAGGCTGGGAGGCAGAGGGGGCAGCCCTGGCCCTGAAGGCTTCCTCTCCTGCCTGACACCCACCCCAGGCTCAGGCTTCTGTCGCAGGGCCCGCCGCTTTCCCCGATTACAACACTGGAAGGTTCAGTCCCTGACTCACTGTCTTTATCCAGTGGCTCTAACAGGAGAGGCAAATCAGACACAATATGCCAACAGGAAATGCTTACATCCATAGCACAGGGAGGGTTTCCCTGGACAGAGCTGGGAGGCAGAGGCAACTCTAGCAGAATTGGAGGGAGAGGAGAGCCCCTGGCCAGGGTTGGTACCTGTTCTCCTGACGGCCACCCTGGATTTCTGATATCGCCGTAGTTTCTTCAGGCAGTCTGCCTGCATAGCGTGATAGTGTGTGTTGGTCTTCATGGTATCTTCCTTCCAGAAATTCATAGCCAAGGTCTGAGCTCTGGAGGACTGGGCCACTGTCCATTCCTGAGTCGCCAGGTTTAGGGAGAGGAAGCGCTCACCATCGTAGTAGAAATGCCGGGAGCCCCCGGTGCTGCCATCTTCATAGATCTCACAGTTCTGAATGTCCTGGAGGGAATGCAAGCCTGCCCCCACCCAGCAGTGACTTCTCCATTCCTGAAACCGTCACCTTTCCACTCAGGTGAGGAACTCAGCCCAGCAGGGACACCTCCCTGGCCCTCCTCCATGCCTCCCGGTGTGGGCTGAGTGCCGGCTCACCTCCCTGCTGAGCCCCACTGACCTACTCCTCACCCCCACCCCCAGCCAGAACCAGCAGGAAGAGACGGGTCCTGCTCTCTGCCTCCAACACTCCTGGAGAAGGCCTCCCATTACTCTTGCCCCTGCCCGCACTCACCTCCTTTCTGGCCCTCAATATGAGTCAGAGTCCTCCTGAGGTCCTTCCCGTTCTCTGTCAAGTCCCCAGTCTCTGTGTCCCAGGTCTTAGCTCCCAGGACTGCTTCTGCCCACTGTCCCTGGGGCCTTGCCCTGCGCGTCTCCCTGTCATAGCGCACGAAGAGCTGACTATCCAAATGTCCCTCACCGAGAAACTCTGATTGCACAGATCCATCCCGGGACAGCACCGTGACATTGTAACGAAGACTGTGGAGCTCTGGGGAAGAGAAAACCACAGATGAAACTTCTTCCTGGAAATAACTTAACATCGATGTTTAACACACAGGTCTGTCTCAAGCTTCTTGAGGAGGCAGGAAATGCACACGGGCAAAGGGACAAGAACGAGGATTTCAGATACAAGGAAAACTGTGAGGGTGGGAGGACAGAGCAGGGGACTGACGAATGGAAGAAGGGGGAATGGAGATGACAAACTTGTAGGCCAGGTGCCAGGATTGGGTGGCCACAAGCCCCCTAAGGGAATAGGGGCCACGGGGAGAGGCTGCCCTGCAGGGGCAAGGGAAGGCAGCGGTGGAAGGAAGGTCTTGCCAGAGGGGATGGTGGGAATGGGAAGGGACTCAGGCTCAGGGGGACCCATGTCCAGTGTGGCTGTGGTGCACAGGTGAGGGTGAGATGGAGGCAAGGGGAGCTGCCTCGAGAAAAGACTCATCATGGGCATGGCGGGGACAAGGGAGGGGGTGGTCATGAGGCACAAGGGGTAGGAAGGTTGTAGCCCCAGGGAAGCTTATAGTAGGGTCAGTATCCCAGAGGGGAGCAATGGTGTGGGCTTGGGTCCAAAGTGGAGGAGTGGCATGACAAGGCCCCAGGACAGCAAGTGGGTGGAACAGCTAGTGTCCACTGGGGTGAGCAGGTGACAAAGAGTCAGTTGATCTTTTCAGCAAATAGTTCTGGGGGCACTGGTTGTTCAAATAAAATAAAATTGGACCCTTAATTTGTACTATATACAAAAATTAACTCAAAATGAATCAAAGACCTAAACTCTACACTCAAGAACTAAAACCTAAAAATTTCTTAGAAGCAAACACTGGGGATAATCTTCATGACATAGGATTTGACAGTGCTTTCATGGATATGACGCCAAGGCACAGATAGAATAGAAAGAACTGACAAACTGGACTCATGAATATTCAAAACATCTGTGCATCAAAGGGCACAATCAGAGTGAAAAAGCAATCAACCCCTGAAATGAAATAAAAATTGCAAGTCATATATCTGATAAGAGATTAGTTTCCAGAATATGTAAAAAAGTCTGACAAAAACAACAAAACAGTCAACCCACTAAAAAATGGGCAAAGTAGCCATGAGAAGCTATGTGGGGGAAAAAATGGGCAGAAGACTTAAATCGCCAATTCTTCAAAGAAAATATACAAATGATCAATAAACACATGAAAAGATGCTCAATATCAGTAGTCACTAGGAAAATGCAAATCAAAACCACAATGAGATAATGAGATACTACCTCAAACCAATCAGGATGGCTATTATCTCACACACACACACACACACACACACACACACACACACACACACAGAGCAAGGTTGGCAGAGAGGTAGAGAAAATGAAGCCCCTGTGTACTGCTTCTATTTCTGGATATATACCCAAAAATAAATAAATATATGCCCAAAAATAAATAAATATATACCCCAAATAAATAAATATATACCCAAAATAAATAAATATATACCCAAAAATAAATAAATATATACCCAAAAATAAATAAATATATACCCAAAAATAAATAAATATATACCCAAAAATAAATAAATATATACCCAAAATAAATAAATATATACCCAAAAATAAATAAATATATACCCAAAAATAAATAAATATATACCCAAAAATAAATAAATATATACCCAAAAGAAATACCCAAAATAGATAAATATATACCCAAAAATAAATAAATATATACCCAAAAGAAATACCCAAAATAGATAAATATATACCCAAAAATAAATAAATATATACCCAACAGAAATACCCAAAATAAATAAATATATACCCAACAGAAATACCCAAAATAGATAAATATATACCCAAAAGAAATACCCAAAATAAATAAATATATACCCAAAAGAAATGAAATATTTGCCAATATCCGAAAGGTACAAGTAACCCAAGTGTCCACTGTCTGAGGAATGGATAACCGAGATGTGGTACATACATATCATGAGTATTATCCATCTTTAAAAGGAATGAAATTCTGACCCACACTACAACCTGGATGAACTTCGAAAATATTATTATTATTGTTTTATTTTTTTATTTTTATTTTTATTTTTTTTTGAGACGGAGTCTCGCTCTGCCGCCCAGGCTGGAGTGCAGTGGCCAGATCTCGGCTCACTGCAAGCTCTGCCTCCCGGGTTCACGCCATTCTCCTGCCTCAGCCTCCTGAGTAGCTGGGACTACAGGCGCCCGCCACCTCGCCCGGCTAGTTTTTTGTATTTTTTAGTAGAGACGGGGTTTCACCGTGTCAGCCAGGATGGTCTCGATCTCCTGACCTCGTGATCCGCCCGTCTCGGCCTCCCAAAGTGCTGGGATTACAGGCTTGAGCCACCGCGCCCAGCCTATTTTTTTATTTTTTTAGAGATGGAGTTTCCCTCTTATTGCCCAGGCTGGAGTGCAGTGGCCTGATCTCAGCTCAATGCAACCTCCGCTTCCCGGATTCAAGCGATTCTCCTGCGTCAGCCTCCTGAGTAGCTGGGATTACAGGCACCTGCCACCATACCCGGCTAACTTTTAGTATTTTTAGTAGAGATGGGGTTTCACCATGTTGGCCAGGCTGGCCAGGCTGGTTTCGAACTCCGAAACTTGGGTGATCCACCTGCTTCAGCCTCCCAAAATGCTGGAATTACAGGCATGAGCCACTGTGCCCACCGAATCTCAAAAATATTATAAGTGAAATAAGCCAGAAACAAAAAGACAAACAACAAACGTTACATGATTCTACTTAAATGAGGTATCTAGAGTGGTCACATTCATAGAAACAAAAAGTAGAATGGTGGTTACCAGGGGCCAGAGGTAGCGAGGAATGCGGAGTTACTGATTAATGGGTACAGAGTTTTGGGTTGCACAAAAATGTGAATGTAGCTAATGCCACTGAGTATACACTTAAAAGTGGTTAAAACAGTAAAATTTATGTAATGTATACTTTACCACAATTAAACATTTAAAGAGCAAGAAATATCAGTCCTATTCAAACTGTTCTGAAAAACAGAGAAGAAGGGAATACTTCCAAACTCATTTTACAAAGCCAGGAATATCCTGATACCAAAACCAGGCAAAGACACATCAAAAAAAGAAAACTGCAGGCCTATATCCCTGATGAACAATGATGCAAAAATTGTCAAGGAAATACTAGCAAACTAAATTCAACAATACATTAAAAAGATCATTCTTTATGATCAAGTGGAATGTATTCCAGGTATGCAAGGATGATTTAACATACACAAATCAATCAATATAATATGTCATATCAACAGAATAAAGGACAAAAGCCATATCACCATTTCAATTGACACTGAAAAAGCATTTGATAAATTCAACATCCCTTCATGATAAAAACTCTCAAAAAACTAAGCATACAAGGAACAGACCTCAATATAATAAAAGTCATATATGACAAACTCACAGCTAGTAACATACTGAATGGGGGAAAACTGAAAGCCTTTTCTCTAAGATCTGGAATAAGACAAGGATGACTAATTTTACCAGTTATGCAACACAGTACTGCAAATCCTAACTACAGCAATCAGACAGGAGAAAGAAATAAAAGGCATCGAAACTGGAAAAGAAGTAGTCAAATTATCATTGTTTGCAGATCTTGTGGTCTGATGCTTGGAAAAACTAAAGACTCCACCAAAAAACTATTAGAACTGAAGAACAAATTCAGTAAAGTTGCAGGATACAAAATCAACAGTAAAAAATCTGTAGCATTTCTACATGCCAACAGAAAATAATCTGAAAGGGAAATCAAGAAACGAATCCCATTTACAACAGCTACAAATGAAATAAAATACTGAGGAATAAACTTAACTGAAGAAGTGAAAGATTTCTCCAATAAAAACTATAAAACAGTGATGTGGCTGGGTGTGGTGGCTCATGCCTGTAATCCCAGCACTTTGGGAGGCCGAGGCAGGTGGATCACCTGAGGTTGGGAGTTCAAGACCAGCCTGACCAATGTGGAGAAACCCTGTCTCTACTAAAAATACAAAATTAGCCAGGCACAGTGGCACATGCCTGTAATCCCAGCTACTTGGGAGGTTGAGGCAGAAGAATCGCTTGAACCTGGGAGGCGGAGGCTGCGGTGAGCCAAGATCACTCCATTGCATTCTAGCCAGGGCAACAAGAGTGAAACTCCATCTCAAAAACAAAAAACAAAAAACACTTACGCAAAAAATTGAAGAGATATTCCATAAAAAATGGAAAACATACTCTATGTGCATGGATTGGAAGAATCAATTTTGTTAAAATGTCCATACTACCCAAAGCAATCTACAGTTTCAGTGCAATCCCTATCAACACACTAATGGCATTCTTCACAGAAATAGTAAAAATAATCCTAAAATGTATATGGAACCACAAAAAAACCAGAATAGATAAAGCTATCCTGAGCAAAATGAACAAAACTAGAGGAATCACATCATCTGAGTTCAAATTATACTACAGAGCTACAGTAACCAAAACAGCATGATACTGGCATAAAAACAGACACATAGACCAATGAAACAGAATAGAGAACCTAGAAACAAATCCATACATCTACAGTAAACTCATTTCCAACAAAGGTACCAAGAACACACACTGGGCAAAGGAGAGTCTCTTCAATAAATGATGCTGGGGAAACTAGACATCCCTATACAGAAGAATGAAACTAGACCCTATCTTTCACCATATACAAAAATCAAATCAAAATGGATTAAAGATGTAAATCTATGACCTCAAACTATGAAACTATAAGAGAAAACACTGGGGAAACTACGATGTTGGACTGGGCAAAGATTTTTTAAGTAATACCCCACAAGCACAGGTAACCAAAGTAAAATTGCATAAATGGGATCATACCAAGTTAGAAAGCTTCTGCACAGCAAAGGAAACAATAAACAAAATGAAGAGACCATCTAAGAATGGGAGAAAATATTTTCAAACTATTCATCTGACAAAGGATCAGTAACTGAAACATATAAGGAGCTCAAACAACTCTATAGAAAAAAAAAATCTAATAATCCAATTTTAAAATGAGCAAAAGATCTGAATAATCATTTCTCAAAAGAAGACATACAAATGGCAAACAGGTATATGAAAAGGTGCTCAACATCATGCGCCATCAGATGAAGGCAAATCAAAACTCTTACGATACAACATCCCACCCCAGATAAACTGGCTTTTATCCAGAAGACAGGCAAATAAGGAATGCTGGTGAGGATGTAGCAAAAGCGAAACCTTGTCCACTGTTGGTGGGAACGTAAACTAGTACGATCACTATGGGAACTAGTACGATCACTATGGGAAACAATGTGCAGAGGTTCTTCCAAAAACTAAAAATATAATAGAACTGTCATATGCTCCAGCACTCCCACTTTTAGGCATATACCCAAAAGAAAGGAAATCGGTATATTAAACAGCTGTCTACATTTCCATGTTTATTGCAGCACTATTCAAAACAGCCAAGATCTGCAAGCAACCTAAGTGTCCATCGCAGACAAATGGATAAAGAAAATGTGGTGTACATGTGTATGTGGAGTACTATTCAGCCATAGTGTCATTTGCAAAGAACTGGAGGTCATTATGTGAAGTGAAATAAGCCAGGCCCAGACAGACACCCTTTGCATGTTCTCACTTATTTGTGGCAGCCTAAAATTAAAACAATTGACCTAATGGGGAGAGACAATAGAATGATGATTACCAGAGGCTGAGAAGGGTAGTGGGGAGTGGGGGAGTGGGATGGTTAATGGGTACAAAATATAGTTAGAATGAATAAGATCTAGTAGATAGCACAGCCGGGTGAGTACAGTCAACAACAATTTATTGTACGTTTAAAAATAACTGAAAGAGCATAATGGGATTGTTTGTAGCACAAAGAAAGGATAAATGCTTGTTGTGATAGATACTGCATTTACCCTGATGTGATTATTACATATTGTAGGCCTGTGTTAAAATATCCCAGGTACCCCATAAATATATACATATATATCTACTACATACCCAAACAAAAGTTAAAAATTAAAAACAAAGCAAGGGGTGAGAGTGCTGGCCAGAGAGAGAAAACCAAGGTAGAGGGAGAGATTCTCAGCCTGAGGAAGGGCCTGCCAAAAGGAGTAGTGCTGGACGGGGAACAGTGGCACTGCAAGCAGGCAAAACAGATTTTAGGTATGTGGTGTAGGGAGTGAGAGCCCACTGGGGTCAAGGAACCAAAAGAAAAGAATGAAGGTCAAGGAACAGTTGGCCCAACGGCCTGTTTTAGGTCTGGGTTGGGGAGGGGAGATGGGCAGAGCAAGAACTGGAGGGCGGCATGACCATGGTGCAGGAGTGACTGTGGGAGAACTTGAGGTAGGGTGAGGACAGGAGGGGAGGGTGGGGCTTGGGAAAGATGAGAACTTGCTGAGGGCCCAAGGCAGCTGGGCAAGAAGTGGGAGCAGTGCAAGGTCCCAAGGTGGAGAGGGGCGGAGGGACCCGGGAGGGATGGTTCAGCACCTGTGGGCTGGAGGATGGGGTCCTCAAGAGGGTGAGGCTGAGGATGAAGGAGTGGGGAAGGGGCCACCGTGAGGCAGAGTCCAGAGCAGGCACCTGCACTAGAGAGGAGGGGGCATTTGCACTGCCCTGTGCCCTGCCTAAGGCCCAACTGCCATTAGCACTAGGGCTCCCCTTGGGTGGCCTGGAGGGGAGTGGGATGGAGGGAAGACCCCCAGAAAAAAGGCAGCACCAGAAAGTTAGGGTCAGGGACAATTGGGAGTAGGAGGCATAGGGGCAGCACTGGGTGAAGGCTGCTTGTAGGAAAGGCCCATAAGGGAGGCAGGAGGGACCTTCGGTGGCGGGGGCAGGGGATGAGGGCAGAGGACACCCTAGAAATGGCGACAACGGCCGCGTCCGGCTCCCCGCACCACCCACAGCGCACCTGAGCCCCGCCCTGACAGCACAGCGCTCGCCGCTACCCACCCGACCCCCCGAAACGCCCCGCTGCTCCCGCTCTGCCGAGGACCGCCAGGAACAGCACTCACCAGCAGCGGCTCCCGGACGTGCAAAAGGGAACATGCTGGCCAGAAATAGCACGACCCGGCCCGGTCCCATGGCCCCGACGACCCCACCCTCTCAGCGGCTCAAGCAGGGGCTAACTGAGCCAAGCCCGGGGAAATGCGCGGCGGAAACTTAATCACCTGGCCCGGCCCCGACCGCTCATCCAATGAAACCGGGGCCCGGAACTTAGGACCAATCAGGAGCGGAGAGGGCGGGGCCACGCTCGGAAGAGAAAATTCCAGTGGCCTGGAGACCTGGGGAGATTTAGAAGGCGGGACTTGGCGCCCAGAAAAGAGGAGCACGCGGGAGCGCAGCCTAAAGCAGGGACGAGCTTCGAGTAGCTGAGAGTACAGCTCCAACTTCATGAGCACGGCCAGGGCCCTGCCCGCCCTCCCGGCATCGCGACCACCCATCCCCACACCCCCACCCCTAGGAGCGCGGGCCTCACCCAAGCCCCATTCGCCGGCCGCCCCATCAGACCGGCTCTCACTGGCTTGTTCCTTCCGGGACAGGCAACGCCTGGCTATTCTCCCAACACACTCCCTTAACCGCGCACAGTGTCACTGGCAATGAGACTAGTGACCAGATTTGTAGACCTGTTTCCAGATCTCAGCTACCTCTGCCTCTCAGAAGCACCTGCCCCAGTAGAACAGCTCAGACCACAAATTCTCTTAGACGTTTCAACTTTATAATCTCCTCCTCCCTTTGACTCAAAGCCAGGCCCCCCCTTTCACCCCCTTATATCCTTTAAGTGTCTGAGGTCTCCCAGGGCCGCCTCTCTATTCAGTCCCTGGGTGATCACAGGGCCAACGAGGAGGCTCCCCATGGTTCACTACACCAAGCTCTTTCCAGACTCCCTTTTCCAGCCTGATTTAGGACATCTGTACCTCTGGGACCATAGTCTCCTTCAATGTGGCAGATCTACAAGGACTCTCTACACATCTCCCACCACATCATCCTCTCTTCCTCCTCAGTTTCTCTTAAGAGCATCACCATCCTTGGTCCCTTCTGATTTCCTCTTTCCCCTTCATCTCCGGGAGTCAAAGTCAGCTCCTCCAACCCTATTTCAATCCCACAGCCACAATGTTAGTCTGGGCTTTCCCCTCCCTTCAGCCTAGATTACTGCACAGGCTTCCTAAACACTGTGCCTGCCTCAGTTACAACCAGAGTGCTCCAAGCCACCCACAGCGCCCCATCTGCTGAATGTCACACATGATGGATGCTTCTACTCTGTCATGGAAACCACAGCTGCCACAACCTGCTGTCTGGCACCACCTGCATTTCTCTGGTGACATCTCCCCAGGGTTGCAGTAAAAGTGGGCTCTGGGATCTCCTCACCCTATCCCACCAGGATGTCGCTTCTCAAGCAGTTTCCCTCTTCCAGGTTACTGTCACCTCTGACTTGGAACCCATCAGACCACACCATAGCCTTAAAATCTTCCCAATTAGGCTGGTCTGAGTGCAGTGGTGTTTACAACTAATTGATTACAATCAGTTATAGATGTCTTTGTTTCTTCTTACTCCCAGTGTTTCACTTGACTAGCCTTTAAAAGAAAAAGAAAAGAAAAAAGAAAAAAAGGAAAAAAATCTTCCAGGGTAGATAGTGGTGATGGTGGCACAACCTTGTGATTATGCTAAAAGACACTGAGCTGTACACTTTAAAAGAATAAATTGTGTGGCATATGAATTCTCAATTCTCAGTAATAAGAATGCTGTCTGGAAAGCCTCTTTCTACTAAGAGAATTGCCTTGTCCCCAATGCGCATCTCTTAGTCGTTGGGACATCTAGGCAGTGGTTTTCAAACCTAGCCACTGTGTAGAACCACCTGGAGAGTTTTAATATCCGTGTTCCCAGGCCACAGCCACAACCTAGGTTGTTAAATCAGTAAACCTAGGTTGGACCTAAATCTCAGTATCCTTTAAAGTTCCCTACATGTTTCCAATGTATAGTCAAGTCATAGAACTACTGATTTAGCCTGTGGTTTGAACCTTCCTGATAGTACTCACTGTGTCCTGCCTCGAATCTTTTTTAATTTTTTTAATTTTTTAAAGAGAGGAGTCTTGCTCTGTCACCCAGTTGGAATGCAGGGGCATGATTATAGCTCACTGCAGCCTTGAATGTCTGGGCTCAAGCAATCCTCCCACCACAGCCTCCTGAGTAGCTGGGACTACAGGCGAGTGCCACCACACCCAGCTGTCACCTACCATCTTCTACCCTATGAACCCTCCAAGATCAGGAAATGTGCCCATTTCTTCTTTGTCAGCCTCACAAACTTTTTTTTTTAAGTTAAAGTATACCTGTCATTACTAACTAGTCCCCCATGATCCCTAGCCTATACTTTTCTGTGGATTAAAATATAATGTATTTGAGAATTTTAACTATTTCTTAGTTTTCCCATTCACATTCACTGATAATTTATTTTGATCCTCATAATTTATTGAGCACAGCAGGGACTGGGGTCCTTTCCCCACCTCAGAGAGATTATTTTCACTGCTGAAGATCGTAAGTCTAGTGAGAGACAGAGAGGGAGATGGACCCAGCCCTTCCCTCCACAGTGTCTACCCTCCCTCCAGGACTTTCTCCCTGTGCCAGCTCCAGCAAAGGATCTCATTCAGCTCACCGCCAAAAAAGACTTAATAGTTCAATAAAAATAATGAATATGCAAGGTTTGTTCTAAGGCATTTAGAAGTGGTTTCAGGGAGACATGAAGCCAACCCTCTCCAGGGCTAGGGGAGGCCAAGATGGTCTCAAGCTCCAGGGGAGTTGCTTCTTAATGCCCAGGCCTGGGCGTCCCTCCCCCCCCAAGCCCCCCAGGTCTTCTGTCCAAAGCCCTCCCCCTCCACCCCACCACCAGCCCCGTCTGCTCTGCCCCATCAACTACGTTTTCTCCCTCAGCACTTGCCTTATACCCCATGCACTCAGGAGCATAGAGGCGATTTCCTTCTCGCAGACTTTAGGCGCCACTGCAGGGTCCGGAAAAGAAAGAGAAACGGCCCAGCGCGGTCGCTTACATAACCCAGGGCGGGGCTGCGCTCCGCCCCCGAAAGCTTTTCTTTTTTTTTTTTCGACGGAGTTTTCCTTCCTGTTGCCCAGGCTGGAGTGCAGTGGCGCGATCTCGGTTCACTGCAACCTCCGCTTCCTAAGTTTAAGCGATTCTCCTGCCTCAGCCTCCCTGCTAGCTGGGATTACAGGCATTCACCACCATGCCCGGCTAATTTTGTATTTTTAGTGGAGACGGGGTTTCCCCATGTTGGTCAGGCTGGTCTCGAGCTCCCGACCTCAGGTGATCCGCCGGCCTCGACCTCCCAAAGTTCTGGGATTACAGGCGAGAGCCACAGCGCCCGGCCTTGCCCGCAAGCGTTTTCAAGTCTGCGGCCCGGAGTTCACTGCGAGGACTGGGATCACCCGTCACCCCGCTCTGGTCTATGGAAAACGAAACGTGTTTACTGATACAGAAACGGAATAACGGCGCTGGGGAGGGCGGAGCTGCCTTCAGGCTTCTGGTCTCCAGCTGCGGGTCACTCACACCTGCCGCTGTGAAATGCAGACCCGCGGGGCAGGAATTCCGAGTCCGGGCTGCAGCGCGATCCGGAATCTGACTCGCTTGAAACAGCAATGCGGCGGATTCGGATCCGGATGAGTAGGGAAATGCGCCTCAGTCCCTCCCACGGGCCGCCCACGGATTCCAGGATGCGAAAACGCTTCCTGCTGCTCCACCACCCCTGGAAGGCAGAGGCCGCCTCTGGGCGGTTCTGATGGAAACGGGCTCTACCGCCCGCAGGAAAACCCACAACTAAGGGGCCAGGAAAAAGCCTCTCAGGGTCCTGCCACTTCAGTGAGGATCCTGATTTACGCCCCGAGTGTGGCCTCCATCAAAGACTGCAGTGACCTTCACTGAAATGATACAAGGGGCCCAGGTCGCTGCGGCTCTCAGAATGCGGTGACAGCGCCGCCTCGCGTCCCTTCCCTGACCTGCCCCCGGCGGACGCGGACCCGTTTGTTGGCCTGGAGGCTGGAATACACCGGGGATCAAATGCAGAGAATGCAGAAAAGAGGGAAGGATGGGGGGACGCGTTGAGGAAAGGAGGGAAGAGATAGGGAGAAAAGGGGAGAGAAAAAGCCAAGGAGAGGTTTTTTTTTTTTTTTGAGACGGAGTCTTGCTCTGTCGCCCAGGCTGGAGTGCAGTTGCGGGATCTCACTGCAAGCTCCGCCTCCCGGGTTCACGAGTAGCTGGGACTACAGGCGCCCGCCACCACGCCCGACTAATTTTTTTGTATTTTTAGTAGAGACGGGGTTTCACCGTGTTAGCCAGGATGGTCTCGATACCCTGACCTCATGATCTGCCCTCCTCGGCCTTCCAAAGTGCTGGGATTACAGGCATGAGCCACCGCGCCCGGCCGGAGAGATAAAATTTAAAAGACGCGGTTTCATTATTTCTTTTATTTTTGCCCTTTATCTAGTTTTACTTATGAACATTTTTGCCATAGCTTTCTCTCTCTCTGAATCTGTAAATATAATGCTATTATTGCTTTTTCAGAGCCTGTGAGGGTAAGTTGCGGAGAGCATGACCCTCTACCTCCAGATGTGTCAGGGTGTGTCTCCTGGGCACAAGAACAAGGTTTTTGTTTTGTTTTGTTTCACATAAGCAAAGTACAAGTCTCAAAGAGGATAATATTTTTAAATCATCTTATTGGGGCATACTTTGCATGCAATAAACTGCATCTATTTAAAATGTTCAACTTGTTGAATTTTAGCTATTGTACACACCCCCATCTCCATTACCACAGTGAAGATAAAGAAGATTTCAATCGTCTCCCAAAGAACAGCTACACGATAAAATTCTATGCTGTCATTAAAAAGAATAAGAGCAATTTTAAGCATTGCTATGAAAAGATGCGCCAAGCATACTTCTAACCTTTTTTAAAAGGTTAAGGAGACTGGGCGCAGTGGCTCATGCCTGTAATCTCAGCACTTTGGGAGGCTATGGCTGGCATATAATCTGAGGTCGGAAGTTCAAGATCAGTCTGGCCAACATGGTGAAACCCTGTCTCTAC